CGCTACTCCGACGGCCGCCTCCTCATCGACTTCCTCTCCTCCCTCCTCTCCCTCCACTTCCTCCCCCCTTACCTCCACCTCGGCTCCTCCTCCCCCTCCAACGGCGTTAATTTCGCAGTTGCGGGGGCCACCGCCATCGAGCATGAGTTCTTTGTGAGGAATAACATGAGCCTGGATATAACTCCTCAGACTTTGGGGACTCAGCTCGAGTGGTTTGATAAGTTTTTAGAGGGGAGGGGGTGTAGTGGGGAGAAAAAAGAAAAAAGAAATACTATAATACATGTAATAATTTGCATCTTCAAATTTTGGTCCCTCGAAAGTGTAAGTATGTCTATTCTTTTTAATTTTGAAGGGGAAAATAATTACATGGTTGAGTTGTAATAAAAAGTTTTAGTAACTCATTTTATATTTCGGGGCTGTTTGGTTCGTTTTTTAACTCGGTTCACGAAATCCAAACCAATCCTCGTGTAGAGATCCCAAATTCCTTTTAGGGGCTGTTTGTTTGCGATTTGGGTAGGGGGAAACCCTGCCAAAAGTTGTACTTTTGGCAGGGTTTTGGCAGGCTTTCCGGCCATTTCCCCCTAAAAACCTCTTTCTAAACAGCCCCTTACAATCCAACAAATTCACCTTTAGTATTTTCTCATTTTGTTGGAGTTCCACTGAATTTTTTGAGAAACGCACTAGATTTTAAACATAGCGTGACCTTTAATTCGTTTTTTCTTTTATTAAAAAAAATCCTTACCGATACTTTTTTTTTTATTTGCTTGATGCACATCAAAAATTGGATTTGAAGGTCATCATAAGGAGGCCCATCTCAATCTGCGCCCAGCAATAAACGAGTATCGTCCACAAGCGGGGGAATGTTTCTTTCTATAATACCTGGAATGGGCTTTTTCTGATTGAGTTGGGCCTAATAAGGACAAACCATATTTTTCTTGTTTCAATTAGTATTTGAATCGTAACCGGTTATTCCCTCTTACTGATAAATTCAGAATACCGACAGTACATCATATTTTAGGTTCTTTTCAGCGCCAACTCAAACGATTAGTATTTTATGATGGATCTCCTGGGGATTCATTCACAGGTGCAATTTTAGATTTCTCGGATTTGGGTCAGACATATATAACGGAAAATTTTCAGCCCATCGGAGTTTTTCTATGGATCTTTAGGAAGATCAGTCTTAACTTAGTTTTTTCAGTTTAAACTAGTTTTATTTTGATACAACGAGAGGTGAATCAAAATAGAACCAATTTAAGGTGGCTTTTTTGACCAAGGATTGATTCAATTTTTTCTTATACAGAGAACCGTATAAAGTGGGGTCAGTGGAACAATCATGGTTCCATATTTAGATATTACCAAACACTGCCCTAAGCTTGTACTAGGTAGCCGGGAGCAACTGGTTGGGTTTCGGTTTCAACCCAAGCCATATAATGCTGCCTCTTGGTACGAACATATTTGGGAATTGGTCAAAGTGACTTATAAGTCACTGGGATATGTTTGACAAAACACCCCTTTTTTTGGCTTATAAGCCCAAAAAATGTAAGCTGGAGTCACCCAGCTTATGTTTTTGGTGGCTTTTAAGCCATATAGTTTGACCAAGTAAAAGACACATATACACCCTTAACATTTAAGAAAATTCAAAAGCTCTCTGTTCTCTATCTCCAACCCTTTTTTGGTCGTTTTGACAATAAAGATGGGTTATAAGGGTCACACATTTGCTAAATATTCTACTATTAGAAATGTATTAAGATATAGTCCGTCAAATTTACCAAACACTTTAGATTATATCTACTTAAATCATAAGCCATTTATAGATTATAAGCTAAATAGATTATAATCTAAAGTTGCGACGTAATACCACGCAGTACGGCAGTTCTCCCCATCACCAAACTACCAATCCTACTCATCACAAACATCCATCCAATCTTAAATTCCCATCTCCAAACTACTACTCAGCATTCACCAACGAAGTCGGTGCTCTCTCCTCTGACATTTATTGAAACACCGCGCTGCAGCTGCCTTGGCTCCCCTACCATTAAAACCTTCGCGTGTTGAAGCTGCCAGCCCCTCAACTACTCATGCCACGTCATCCCCCATTACTGCTCTCTGGAGAAAGAAAGAAAGATACTTCCAGAAATTTTCAGCTGAATTTCTTCTTCAATACTTAAAACATCTGGAGAAGTCAGTGTCTTGATCCAAGAATGGCTAAATAGCACTCACGGACCCTATCGTCTCGTATACTTCTCACTTGTATACCTCAACTTGCATTTGGTAGCAAAAAAATATCGTATATTCTCTTAAAGTTTGCACTTATATATCATCACTATTCTTGGTAGCGCTTAAATACCCGAAAGTTTTTAAATCCGGCACTTAGATACCCTAAGGTCACTTAAATATCCTAAGGTTTTTAAAACTTGCACTTAAATACCCTCAACTTTCCATAACCGAGCGTATTTATGTGCAAAGTTTTAAAAACTTTAGGTCATTTAAGTGTCGGATTAAAAAACGTTAGGGTATTTTACGTGCCAAATTTAAAAACTTTAGGCTATGTAAGTGCTACAAAATATAATTAAGGGTAGATAAATGTAAGTATTAAAAACTTTAGGGTATTTTTTTTTTTTTGCTCCAAAATATAAGCGAGAGTATATAAGTAACAAGTAGATGAAACAATAATGTGTATAAGTATTATTTAGCCTCCAAGAATTGTTTTTTTTTTTTTGGTACACTATTAATGTAGCACCCACGGATCATGAATATTTTTGCCCAGAGAGAGAAGAAAAATCAAATGGTCCAACAAGAGAGCAGTAAGTACTGGACCGGAATCTTTCGGTAAAAACAACACGAGACTTTTTAACTCCTCATCCACCCTTGTTAACTATAAAAACTACCACATCAGACATCCAAAAACACTACACTCAAACAACACTCTCACAATATGCACACAACCACCACCACCACCTCCCTCCTCCCCCTCCTCCTCCTCCTCCTCCTCCCTCTCGCTCCACCCTACCTTGGCTTTTTCATACCCATCATCATATATCCACCCTCTATCTCCTCTCCCCGCTACTCCGACGGCCGCCTCCTCATCGACTTCCTCTCCTCCCTCCTCTCCCTCCACTTCCTCCCCCCTTACCTCCACCTCGGCTCCTCCTCCCCCTCCAACGGCGTTAATTTCGCAGTTGCGGGGGCCACCGCCATCGAGCATGAGTTCTTTGTGAGGAATAACATGAGCCTGGATATAACTCCTCAGACTTTGGGGACTCAGCTCGAGTGGTTTGATAAGTTTTTAGAGGGGAGGGGGTGTAGTGGGGAGAGGTTGAGGGAGTGTGGGGAGGTGGGGGAGGATGCTTTGTTCTGGGTTGGGGAGATTGGGGCTAATGATTATGCTTATAGTATTGGGTCTGAGATGACGCCGAAAGAGATCAGAGAACATGCTGTGAAGAATGTAGCCATTTTTGTGAAGGTATGCTCAGATAATTCTATCTTCAATCCTATCGTTCTCTTGTTTACTGATTTCAGTGAAATCCCTAGTCAGAACCTTGTGAACTCCCAACTAATAATTACAGTAATACACTAGCAATTGATGAATTATAGCCACCAATCTCAACCATGAAGACGGATCTGGAATTAAATTCACAGTGTTACCCATGAAAAACGTACTCTTTCATCACCTGGATAGAATGTTTTATCCTCAAACCTGTAATAAAATCTGAAATTTTTGAAGGTCTGATTTGATCTCAAATTTCAGCTACTTCGAAAAAAATAAAAAATAAAAAATCTGAGAAACCGAAAATTCAAAAATATAACCCCATTCATTGAGCTCATATGAGTACCTGAACGAACAATTTTTCAAAACAGACCCCTTTAGAGTTTTATTTTTCAAAATCGACCGTTTTTTTTTTTTATTTACCAAAACCGACCCGATTTTGTGATTAACAGCCAAATCACCATCCTAAATAGTCGGGGTTGGCAACCCCGACTATTTAGGAGGGTATTAAACCCTGATTAGATACCTTAAACACTAAAAATTAAGGTCCTAAATAGTCGGGGTTGCCAACCCCGACTATTTAGGAAGGTGATTAGCTGGTTAATCAAAAAATCGGGTCGGTTTTGATAAATAAATAAAAAACCGGTCGATTTTGAAAAATAAAACTCTAAATGGGGCTGTTTTAAAAATTTGTTCGTACCTGAACCTTTGCCACATGCTCGGATCAGTACCATCTCAAGTTAGTATCGTCTATATAACCTGTAACCCGTAACCAATAACCTGTGATAAAAGTTAAGAATCTAAGATGGCATAAATCAATAATACACAAAGATCGGGAAGCAAATTCTGGAAAGACAACTTTCTTATCATCTGGACTGATAGTTTTCTTATCAAAATCAGTAACAAGCTAAAACTTCTCAAAATTGATCTAATCCCAAGTTTCAATTGCTTCAGACACTGAGAAACCAAACAATTAATGAGAACACAGCTTGTTTAATTCGTTCGCGTGCTTCTATCATGCTCAAGATCGGTATAATGCAACATGCTCAATATCAGAATATCACTACCTGCCAGAAAACTTGAGAAACTATGATGGCATAAATCATTAATGCGCAGAGATCTGGGAGCGAATTACAAATGTTCCGAGCAAAACCATTTCATTTTTTATTCTTCTCAAAACTGGCAACAAACTAAAGATTTTTTACATTAATTCAAACTTTTCAAATGCTTTCAGAATCTGAGAAGCTGAACATCTAGCAAGAGCACATTTAGTTAATTCATGTTAATGTTTCTACTTATGCAACATGATTATCATCAACGTATCATAGCTAACTACACCCTAAAATCACATTGTCAGATTGTTAGCACCTGCTAATTTCATCACCAACAGATAAATAAAATATAGCGTAACTTATAAACAGTCTACCTAAGATTTGCATGATTAGCAGAAGTACCCCTAAAGTTTTGAAAGCGACAGTTTGACCTCTTCCATTACAAATTTTCGGAGTTAATTTGGGTGTAAAAGAACTATATACCTTTATGCCTATAAAAACTCATAATATGATCATTACACTGGAAATTGAAGATTATATCAATATATAATATATTTATCTGTTGTTCCTCAGGCACTGCTTGATAGAGGAGCCAAGTACATAATAGTCCAAGGCCTCCCCCTAACTGGTTGCCTACCACTAGCAATGATCCTATCCCCAACCACCGACAGAGACGACCTCAACTGCTCCGCCAGCGTCAACACCTACAGCAACCTCCACAATTCCCTCCTCCAATCCAAGCTTCAACAACTCCGAAGTCAATACCCCGCTGCTCTCATCTCCTATGCTGATTACTACAGCGCTCACAGAACCATCATGAAGAATCCAGAAGCTCATGGCTTCAATGAGCCTTTCAAGGTTTGCTGTGGCTCAGGGGGTGGCCCCTACAATTTTGACCCTTTTGCCACGTGTGCATCGCCCAAGGCCCAGAAAGCTTGTTCTAATCCGAGAAAGTTTGTGAATTGGGATGGAGTTCATCTCACCGAAGCTGTATATAAGAATGTAGCTGATATGTTCTTTCATCAGAATTACTGTCGACCATCCTTCAGTGTTCTTCTTAGCGACAAGAAGAATAGGGGATGAGGGAGATGCAACTGATTTTGTCTATCAATAGCCTGAGAGTACTAGTATTAGATGATTCAGTGTCTAGCTATGATTCAGATTTCAGATAGCCATTAGATTGATCACACTACTAAGTGCCAATCTCGGGTTTCCAGATAAGGAAAGATATGTAACAAGAAGACCATGTGAAAGACAATGGCTAATATATGCAGTTTTATCTTTCTTTCAAAATCTAGACTTTATAGCAAATAAATATGCTGTTCAAGGCTTTATGATTCAGATAGCCATTAGCTTGATCAAGAATCTTGTGTTTCCAAATAAGGAAAAAATGCAACAAGTAGATCATGTGAAAGAGAATGGCTGACATATGCAGTTTTAACTTTTCTTTCAGTCTAGGGTTTATAGCAAAGAAATATATACTGTTCAAGGCTTCTCCGGGTAGTTCAACAAGCAAAGGGGGGCAACTACTACTTCCTCTCTTCCCTATGAGCCAAATGTTCCAACATCTTAGCCCTAAACCTTCAGAGTCTAGTTAAATGGATATCAAATCTACTCAAACAAAGTATCAGAATGAAAGCAACTGATATGATAGACTCGTTGCACCTCGTTGCAACTTCAAATGTACTCTAATCCTATTGTAATCTTGAAGGTTTGAACTTTGCAGTAGAGCAGAAATGATTGTGGACTCAAACGGCAATTCTACATCACTATGATTTCAATGATCATACAAATGATATATCCTATGGCTTAACTCGCCACACAATCATTTATATGTTTCAGTATTTACTTAGTTTAGAACTCAATTAGCCCATATGTTTTGGTAACAACTAAAAATCTGGCATGCGATATGTTGTCATAAGTTACATGGGTACGAGTGTGGGTGCGGGACACGGCAAATTTGTAAAAGGTAGTCAACCGAAACTCATGAGATATAATCATAGTTCTCAGCTATATATGTAAGCGAACCTTTAAATCGTAGTTCTTAAGGCTGACACGAACTCGACCCTTATCCAATAAGTTACAAAAATGGATGTGAAGTGTAGGATATATATCCAAGAAGTGCACAGCGCATGTTTTAAATTAAACATGCATTATATAATTGAGCACAAGTCTGAATAAATATATGCATATATTTAAGGAGTGTTGAAGAAGTGATGAGTATGGGCAGGGGTACGGGTACGACACGTGTTGGGAATAGGTATGGCTCCATATTAGAAGTACCCAAGTAACATTCGTGTTATCCCAGTTGGTGCCCATATATCTTGCCCATCTTGCACCAATTAAACTGAATACCTGGTAAGGAACCACCTTCTTAATAGATACAAGATGAGCTTAAGTGAGATAACACATTGCATAACAGATTTTCAGTTAGTACCAAAATATACAGAATAATTGAGTTCAATTTAGGTAATTCCTAAGCATATAAAGACTGTATGATGAGCTACGACATATGAGATATCATTCATATGATAAGTGAAATAATAATTATGTAGCATCCACAAGCATTCCTGCCTACAATGCTCATTCAAACCTTCAGGATTACAATACTATTACACACATTTGAAGTGTTTTGCAACAAGTTAGGGTGCAACAAAGTCTACGGTGTCAGCTGTTTACATTGATACTTCTCTTGAAAAACTTACATTCTGATATTTCTTTAAAGTTTTTCAGATGTTTTATTTTGTTGTCAAACTGAAATTAGTGTAAAAATTTTAAATAAGTGAATAACTAAAAGAATATCTCTTTCTCCCTTCACCAACTCCTCGTCCCTTTCCATCCACTGACCAGCATCAATCCCAGTCAAACAGATTCAACTGGACCTAACTGTAAATACAAAAGAGATACTGGTATGTTTCAGCCAAAGAACCGCAGACCAAATCCGCTCCATCTACGAACTCAAGCATGCTATGTGGGAAAATTAAATAAATTCCCTGCCTTATGCGATCTTATCCCTTAAGTTACCCTACTTATAGTGATCCATAATGAAGAAACAATTTCAGAAGAGACTTTATTAGACTTTCACTGTCTCAGAAATTTCATTACAGGTTAATTTGCCATCAAGTCATCCTATTATATCAATCACGATGTGTTGTAATCAAATTGCAAACACGGAGTAAAACACAGCCTAGTAATTTGATAAAAGAATATCATTAGCTACGGGGAATGGGAAATTTTCACCAATTGAACTAAAGCAGATTGGAAAACACATAAGTCATCCAAAGTGGTGGGAGTATGCGAAATGCAGCCTCAAAAAGTGATAATTCTTCAATAATTTAGAATAAAAGGACATCTTTCTGTAAAAAAGAGAAATTTTCATATAGGATTATTGGGAGCTGCATTGCAACTCAGTTCTAATACACAGTTATATTTGGACAACTTGACATGTGAAACCATAGAAATTTGATTTTCTATCCGGACACTATCCCAGACTCTTATCTACAAGAGAAGGTCGGCGGCAATCTGTACATCATTTCTTATATTTATATAGATCATACTAAATACTCATAGTAGACAAAGAAAAGAGAGTCCGGAACCGTGAGAGGCAACTTATCTATAAACCCATAGAACCGTCGCAAGTTCTCCTTCTCCAATGTCACATTATCAACCACATCACCAGTGCCAGTGAGCACCCACAAGTCTCTTGATCGGACTCTTTTTAAGCTGCCCCTGCAAAAGGGGCAGGATTGTGACCGCGTATTCCTGCAACAATTGAAAATAAAAACAAATTAGAAAATTATAACTTGACATGGCAATAAAACAATTTTAATGACGTGGGTCAATGATGTATACCAATCATGGTAGCAATTTATACACATGGCATGACTGCAATGAGGTAGAACCATTTTTGTACAAATCTCCATACAAATGCCACATTCATCTTCCCTCTCTAAGTCTTTATCAGAGAGCTTCCTCCAGTCTTCAACCCTCTTCTTACTTATAATCTCTTTGAATCGACGTCCCTCTTTCCAATCTTCTTTCTCTACTAAGTTACTCTCAAGTTGTTGAAGAGAGGGATATATAACAGCTGCAAACAATATTAAAAACATGTCTTGGTTAAGATGAACTGCTAAAGTCGGACCAATTACAGCTCGCAATCATAACACATGAGAAACGATAGGGTTTTAATACAGACCATAGAATTCCCTCAGGCTGGCACTCCTCTCATAGGTAGATATCCTTGCACTTCCATCAGCATATACCTGCACAATTCAAATCATCTACTATTTAAAAACAGCACTAATACTTGAAAATAATGAAACCAAGCAAAACCCCATATAAGAATACTAAAATTTCGGTTAAATATATTTTAAAAAACTAAATTTTAGTGAAGAAAAAAGTAATTAAACCTTGCAAATTTGTACTTGAAGAAGCCCCAAATAACTGGGGAGATTATAGCTACAAGTGCAGTCCAGCCACTGAATAAGAAAGTAGAAGAAAGGTGCCAAAGAGCTATAAGTTAATCTCATCTGAAGGCAAGCACCCCCATAAGCTCTCTGAATAGAATCAGCCCTGAAATTTTTTTAATAAAAAATTCCAATTAAACCCTGTAGTCAAAAACTAGCACAAACCCATTTCAACATAACCGCCAAAACTCCCATAATCAATCTCAAAAACAAATTTTGACAACTGGGTTTCTCTTAAAAATTCGGAAGACTTACAGGTTGTTGGCATGGTGGATATCAGCTTCAAGGGCTTTAAGAGAACCTCTGAAGGATGATGACCTTGCAATTATCTGGTTTTGAAACATAATAATTTTTCTCTAGTTTTCAGCTTTTTTTTTATTTTCAGAGAATGGGAAGAGGAGAAGATACAGGTGAAGATAACTAAAAAGATAGGCTCGACTCTTGAGAACAAAGAAAGATGAAAGAGGGGCATTTAAAAACTCTATCCTAAAAGCCCTAAATTCTGTATTATTATAGCAGATGATGATGATGTGATCAAAACTATCAAGCTACAATAGGAAATAAAAATAGTAAATTTCATAAAACCCCCTAAACGTTAGAGTGATTTGCACAAAAGTCCACCATGAATCTTAAAAACTTCATAAAGTCTACCTGAACTTTCTAAGAAATCCGCCTACTGAAATACTATTTATAAAAAGAAAACTCATTCTTAGTAAAAGCATAAAACAAAACTTCCTACCTTATACGGGCATTTTACTTTATTTTACAAATAAATTTCTAGAACATAATTTGCTTCAAAGTTCAGGGTGAGACTTTTTTATAGTTCAAAAAGTTTCATGAAACTCTCAAAAGACTTTGTGTTTCTTAATTTATTGCTATTTTGTGCAAATCATCTCAAAATTCAAGGGGTTTTGTTAAATTTATCCAAACTGAAATAATGTTAAGTTTTTTTTTAGGGGGGTGGGCCCAATTGAGAGTGCGGAAGGTTGAGGGGGTGGGAAACCTAATTTATCTCTACAAACAACCACAAACTGAATTCTTCCTTGCTTCAGTGGGCGGTTGTGGTTTGTTTCTTGCAACGTTTCCTAATTTTTTTTTCGTTTTTGGGGCGGCCCGGAATTAGATAGATAGAGACCATTTTATGATTTGTCCCTTTCTTGGCTCCTTTTGCAAGTATCCTCCATCCCATTCAATTCCTTTGGAAGTATGTATACAATCATTATTGAGTTAATAAAAGGATATTCAAAATATTTGTGAATGGTTTTGCTAACTACCATTTTAAGTTTTAGAGATTCTCCTCAAGGAAAATGTTATGATATAAACTTGCTTATAATTTAAAAGCTTGGCGCTTTTTTTGGCATTTTAGTCCATCACATTTTCATATCTTGAATTTAATCTCCAAATTTTGATGTTTTAAAAAATACACCCCCCCCCCAATAAAAAAACAGAAAAAGTCAAAACCCAAAAAAATTAAAAAGCTTTTTTTGCTAAATTTAGTCTCATAGATCATCATATTGTGAAATAATCCCTCAAAATTCTAAAATATTTTGAAGTTAGTCCCCCCAAATCTAAACCTCGTACTGGTTTGAAAAGATTAATTTCAAAATATTTAAAGTATTTGGTGGGACTGATTTCAAAAACATATAGATTCGAGAGTCTAATCACAATATATCAGTACTTGGGTGATTGATTCTAAAATGTGAAAGATTGGGGGCTTATATCGAAATACCCAAAAGAATACATTGAAACTTTTTAGAAATTTATTAAAAGTGTCTAACCGTTCATTTCTAATAGGGTAATTGCAAACAGACCTCCATAATATCACCCTGTTGGAAATAGTCCTTCTTTAGTTCTATTTGTGAGTAATGGACACTCTGTAATATCGGCCTAGGTGCAAATACACCATCTTAATGAACTTTTTTCGACTCTTTTAAAAATTAAAATAAACTAGCAAATGAGGATCTGTCCTCACCAATAGAATTATAGGAGGACCACTCGCCATCTTTAATAATTTTAAGAGTAAAAAATTAACTGAGAGGGTCTATTTGCAAAAAGCAAACTATAATGGGTCTATTTGCTAGGTTGATATTACAAGGGTTCTGTTCGCAATTAACGCTTTCTAATATGACCCCCTAGTTTTTGATAGGGTTTTATCGCGATTGATACTGAGATCCATATAGGGGGTGTTTGTTTCAGAAAAAATTTGGCATTTGGGTGGGATTTTAAATTCTAGGATCAAAAAGTGTGTTTTTTTGGGTTTTAGAATTCCATAAAACTTGTTTGGTTCAAAACAAATTTTAGAATATCAAATCCCCAAATAATAATAAAATATTATATTTAAGGATTTGTGAAATCCTCTTTTTTGGGTGGGATATGAGGTGAATTTCAAAAGTGTTAAACAAATTAAGGATTTTAAATTCCAAAAAGTTTGAAACAAACAAAAATATTACAAATTATAGTATTCCAAACCCCAAAATATTGTTGAAACAAACAAAGTTTTAGGAATCCCAACTCATAAAAAATTACTTATGGATTTCAAATCCTATGGTGAAATTCATATCCTAAAATTATAGGATTTGAAACAAACACATAGAGAAACTCTTCTGTTGAAAATTTATTGGAAGGAAATAAAACAAATTATTTAATGTTCTAGTCGAAAGATAATAAATTTAGTTAGCCATTTTAGACTGTTATTTGCAATAGAAGTGACCAGTATGATGACTGAGATACGAACTCATCATGTATAGAGAAACTCTCTGTAGTAAGAAAAAGAAATCTTCACTCTTATGATGTTGAATTTAATGTTTACTTACCCATCATCCTACGTAGAAGTGACTAACATAAGGTTTGAGAGCCAATCAATTTCCTAGCATCACCAATCAACTCTATAAAATAATATTCGACTATCTGTTTCATTTTTTTTTTCATTTTAAAATGAAATAAAAGAATATCTGTGCTTAACGGTCAAAAAACATAAAGTTGGTTTTATTTTTATTTTTTTAAAATTTATTTGCTAAATATTACACATGTGATGATGACAAGCGGGAAACGAACTACGCCGCTAATCCTTTGTGAATTGCAAAACCCAACCTACGAAACATGTACTCAGCGGACCCTACTGTCGCCACATTCTTATTCATAAATTTTTGTACCCTCCTGAGGAACTCCACCGCATCAGCTGCAAGGAAACCAAATGTATCGAAAGCGAACGGGATGAAGCTGTGGTGGTTGTCCTTGCAAGCTTGATCATGTTTGTCCAACCTCTGCCTCTGTTGTTCTCTCCGCTGCATGCCCAACCTTTGTCTTTGCTTGATCATTGTTTCATTTTCTAATTCATTACTTTTTATTTTTAGGATTGAGACCACAAGAACGATATAAAATACTTTGTCTCTTATCCTTCTAAAGAGAAAAAGGGAAATACTAACGAAAACTTCAAAGGGGCAAAGGTCAACCTACTTCATTTAATTATATTATAAAATTTAAAGAATCAAATAAAGTGATATACTTGTTGTAATTTAGTTTTACTAAATAAAAAAAATTTAATGCTACGAATAAATAAATAAAACGAGGCCAATAGAGGTTGTTGGTTCAGCTCACCATAGTTAACACTTGCCTTCCAACAACCTGGTTGGTAGTTGAACATCTTCGAAAATATCATACGTTTGAATTGGAAAATTGTAACGTAGTTAATTTAATCGTTTTCTTTTCTGTCAATACTTTGTTAAGCTGAAGTCATTAGTGATGATACGATGCTTCATTATCTTGTTTAACAAGAAAATCGCTTGTTAATATGAGGAATTAATTATGTTTGAACGGATTAGGTTGGGTATTTTGGTCAAAAGAGGCGTCAGCTTTCCGTAAGTGATTACATAATTGATTAAATTATTACGGATTATACCAATGATTTGACTTTAGATTAAGAAACATATTTTCCCGTTGATTGGGCTTTTCTATTTTGTTTCTTTATTCTAGATTTTTAATTTTCTATTATGTGGTGTCGTACATTTTTTTTTAGAGAAAGGATGGATTACTGTTAATCTTAACAGTAATCCAGCCAGCTAAATTAATCCAAACTTGGTTGTTACATGACTATGCACATTCCCAACCAATAAGAATGTGCATTTGAGTTCATACAGAGCTTACAACCAAAAAACAAACTTCTGTTTCCCCACAGATACAACCAAAATCAGCTCTATCAAAAGAAAACTGACAACTACTACTACTACAAAAGAGTAGTCCATATGAACAAAGTTTTTAACCAACAGAAAACAGAACCAGAATATAGAAATCATTCCAGTTGAATCACTATGTTCTCAATCATGTTCTCCGTAGATTGAACATCAGCAGCTCTTTTCCTCCTCCTCTCTTGAAGTCTGGCAGATCGATCAGATAAAGGTTTAGAACCTAACCAAAAAGATGAATAAATCAGAACTTTGTTTAAAACCTCCAGAGCTCTCTTCTTCTTGCTTGAAAAAATTCTGTCATTTCTTTCTTGCCAAATACTCCAAATAAGAGAACATAAAATAACGTCTCTTTCCACATTCCATTTAACTCCCTTATTCATATTCCAATTGATCCAGATATCCCTTAGGGAATTCAACTTGAAATCCTTATCAATGTTCAGTTTATGTTGAATAGATCTCCATGTGGAGTATACAAACTCACAGTCTACAAAAAGATGGTAATGATTTTCCTCCTCTTTAGAACATAAACAACACATTAAATCCACATGAATACCTTTTTTTTCTAGCTTATCTTTTGTATTTAGCCTTTGTCTTAGAGCCAACCAGACAAGAAATTTCACTTTTAAAGGAACAGGAAGCCTCCAGAGATTAACATGGTCAAATCTTAAACCCCCATCAATAAGAAAGTGATAATAGGATTTAACTGTAAATTTACCTTTAGTATCCCAAATCCATTTTCTCCTGTCCTCCCTTTGTTCAAAATTAAAATCTCTGATATCAGTCATCAACTTGCAGTATTGAAGAACATAATTTCCAGTTAATTGTCTACTAAATTGAATACTCCATGTCCATTCATTATCCACCTTCTTTCTCACCTTACTGATAGTTGCATAAGGAAAAGAAGTGACATTGAAAAGAGAGGGATAAACTGAAGCAAGGGTAAAAGAACCTACCTATTTATCAAGCCAAAATAAGGTTTGATCTCCTTTTCCCACATCCACCATAGTACTGCATAAAAATCTTTCAATATTATCAAAACAATTCCTCCAAAACTGTGTTAAAATATTTCTACCAGAATAAAAAAATTCTGTCCAATTTTTCCTCTCAAAGTATTTGTAAAAACTAATCTGTTTCCATAATTCCAGTTTATTATCAAATTTTCCTCTCAAAGTATTTGTAAAAACTAATCTGTTTCCATAATTCCAGTTTATTATCAAACCATTTCCAACACCATTTCCCCAACAAAACCTTATTCATAATTTTTAAATTTACAATCCCCAAACCTCCATATTGCTTAGGTCTACAAACCTTATCCAT